CCCCAAAACCCCAAAACCCCTTAAGCAACTATTAAGAGAGATTAGAATGATGCAAAATTGAATTTAATTATTTTTAGAAAAATGCAAATTTACTAATAGAATCCCATGATTGGTAACTCTAATCATCCTACTACTTATAATTATGTAAGATTGTCATTAATTAATTATCCCAGCCTTAACACGAATAGATTAATATGTAGTAATAAAATCTCAATTCTAGATTACAAAGTCTTAGTGGCAGTGGCTAATTCTAAAACCAATCAATGAATTACCCTGCTTAATTTACACAACCAAATTATATGCCTAATTATGTTTCAGGAAGTGGGTTAGTGAGCCATTAAGGAATGAACCCAGGCCTACCTCCTAGATCTCTCCTTCCAATTAATTCTGCGTAATCAATAATGATATATAACTATTCCACAATAGTAACAGTCAAAGCCGTCAGAAGTAGTAGTAACCGTACTAAAATGACTATCAAATGCAAAATATCTCATAAGACTGAATTACTAGACCACCGCTTTACACTTAATAATAGAATAAAAGTTTAGACAATAGTGCTGGCTATGGACTAAGATATAACCAAGTGATGAGCAGGCAAAGCAATCATCATTAAAGTAATAATGTCATTCCAAATCTGAGGCAACTCAGCAATTAACATAATATGCCTCTTAATGGCCAGCAGTATGGAATGGGAAATTAGCAACAAAATAAAAGCATGATAGAGGATAGAATAAATCCTTTAATGAATTAGAATCAGATGAAACAGCTGGATAAAATAAATAGAGATCGATAGAGAATCAGCAATGAGTACCAGAAACTGTAGAACTTAAGCTTAATAAATCATGTTAAAAATTAGCAATAATTCACACCTCCTCCATAACCCAAATCTATTGATCTCGTCAAAATTCAAGATCAAGTTAGGCAAAATTAATAAATCATTGGAACTCTATTAAAACAGTACGATGATCAAAAAAAAGAAGAGGAAGAGGAAGAAAATTACCAAATGCAAAAGAAACTCAAAAAGCTCCAAAAAGATCAAGCTATGATGAAACAGAGAATGATGAATATTGCTTTGCAGAATTAGTAGAAAGCCAAATAATAGCAGGAAAAAGAGGAAGAAGAATAGAGATAGGCTAATAAACCTCCTTAGATGATGTATCCTCCATTTCCTTTTTTCCCCCAAAACCCTAATTAGCCATTTAATCCCTACGCTGCAGCTGCTTATCAGTAACAAATGGCTGCGATGAATCCAGGAGGAGGCTAAAGTCCACTTGGTATGCCTATGTTTGACCCAAATAACCCATTTTTCAATCCTTTCGAAGAGCAATAGAAGTAGAAGAAACTTGAAGAGGAACTTAAAAAGTAGCAAGAGGATGCTAGATTCCTGAATGAGCTTTTAAATCAGCCTGATAGGTTAACTAAAGACCCAGAAGAATAAGATATGCTTTATGAGTAAATGAAGGAGGAGATTTAACAGGATTAGCACAAGGTAGATGATTTACTAAAAGGGCTGAACTTACCTAAAATTGATGCAAAGGAAGAAGAGAAGATGCTTAATAACTTGCCCTAGGAGATTAAATAAAAGGAGATGGAAGAATAGAGATAAAAGAAGAACAAAGAACTAAAAGATAAATACAAGAATCTTATTTAGCAAAGTGAATAGATTACACTAAGAAAAGCATCAAAGAGGTATTTTAGAGCGATTGTGAGGACAATTATCAATACGCTTCGACTATACAGGGAATCAATTAAGAATAAACTGAGACTAAGGGAACAAACAGTTAAGGATATGGATGATGCGATTAAACTTTATAATGATGTAGCTAAGGGTTGGCTTATGAAATCTATTAAAAAACCATTGATATCAATTCTCCAAGATCCTAATTAATCCTTTGATTTTTCAGAAAAAGGCATTGACGATGAAACTAGTCTCAATAGACTTATGAAACTCAAAGTCAGAGCTAAGGGCATCATTTAATCTATAGCTGAAAATACTGACATTAAAAATATGCCACTTCCCTTGATCATCTTTATTAACTCATTAACAAAGGCTAAGAACTTTGTCCCTTAGGATTTTCTCACTGAATATGAATTAAATCGACTTAACACAGATTCATATGGAGCAATTACTCAATAGTTATCCGAAGATTAGATCAAGATGGTTGGAGGAATCTATCTACTTGGTAAGATTTTAATTGTTAAGATCTTGTTTAACCCTAATAAATCTGGAATAAGTATGCAATTTAATGATAAAATGCTTTTGAACTTTAAACTATTGTCATCAGTGCTTTACAACTCATTCCTTGAATACATGGATTAAATAACTGCTAAGTTCTTAAAGCCTGGAACTTAGGACAGGAAAGGTTCTGATGGTATATCATAGCATATGCTTTAGCCTTAGTAGGTTAAGTTGTTTTACTCATAAAATAACTATCAGTTCAGGAATGAACTATTCTTGCAATTTGATATATTCTTGAAAAAGTTATTTTTGCTAGTGTCAAAGGCTGATGAACTTAAATAAAAGTATTAGAATACATGATATATAATGAACTAATTCTAATTATAAGATATATTTCCCTATATTCAGAGGTAATAATTAGATCACGGGGTTTTGGGGTTTTGGGG